TTCTGAACATGTATTTCAGATGTGGAAGAATCAAAGCCAACAATTACATTGAGGTTGACTGACATTATGGAAAATACTGTATGTGAAGATGAGACCAGACATCTCAAGATGTAAATTGTGACCCTAAAAGCTGGTTCAAGCTGTTGTTACACAGGCAGGTTTTGTTTTATTTTTCAACACTAGATCTTGTATTAGTTTAACAGATAAAAGTTACAAATGTGAAAGTAGAAGTGTCATACAAACTCTGGCTTATTTCTAGAAGAGGACACAGTGAAAACATCAGTATTTGCTGGTATTTAAAAAAATGTGTTTCTATCTCATTGCACTAATAGGCAGGTCTCTCATCTGATCATTGGTTTTTAAAGAACTTTTTATCGACCATCGGTAGAATGTGAAAGAGTTTTTGATATATAATACTACAAATATACTCAAGATGAATATTTTAATTATTAGAGGTGGTAAATGGAGTGTGCAGGGTTGCACTATGAATAATGTTCTTGGTTGGTATATTATATATTAATTGATCTTTTGAACATACTGGCATAACTTTATACTGCTTTGGAAGTTATTCAGTGTTTTTAAAGCACATGAGACCAAACGATACATTAAATTTTGAACTCACACAAAAAAAGAGAGACAACAGTGAAGAGTTTACACACACAAACACACACACATACACACAGGCACACATGCAGTTCTATACAGTTCACTTGTGCCTTGGAGGGATAGTATTACTATCATTATTATGAAGAAGAAAAAAACACAATTTGTCCCAGTAGTACTGGCCACCCTGTTTTAAGAGTTTTAGAAGATCCCTGAGCACATTGTTTCTGACTCTTAACCCCAACTCCAAAATGATAGGGCTTCTATTGTTGATATATCAAGATGGATTGTCATTCACAGTAAGTCAATCATAAGGTGCTTATTTACCCTTTTTTTTAATTTTCCCACCAATCAGCACAAAGAACTGTCAGAAAATAACTTTTTATTATTATTATTATCTGAAAATAATAGCACTGGAAGGACACATGATTGAAACAATCAATGTTGGAAACAGTGGCTTTAGGATTATTATCTGGCTGCCCCTCAACAATAACAAATGATTTCAGTCGACATTCCTTAGCCAAAAACAAAAAAGGCAAAAAACAAAACAAAAACAAAAACTGTACAAATATGTATTTTTTTTTCCCTGAGGGATCAAGGTACACCCGCAAGTGCTCTATGTACATATTGCACTAGAGAGGAATGAAAGAACATGTGCAAAAAAGCAACAATGAGAGAAGCTTACGTACTACTTCAACCTTTTCATTAAAGATTCTACTAAGTTGTTTTGCATTTTGGAATGTCGGAACACAAACATCTATTCCTTAGTCTAAAACTAAAAACACATATTTCTACTATGGCACATTCAATGAAATAAAAAGTTTTCCAAAGACAGATAGACAAATTCCATCAAGAAAATAATACAAAGTTTGTTTGTTTCTATTTTTTTTTTTAGAAAATTACATTACTTTCTTTCATTGTTTCACATTACAAAATCTTTTTTTTTTTTCTTTACACAAATCACATTTTATTGCAGGAATATTTCAAGTGCCATCAAATATTTATAGAAGGGTTAAAAAAATAGAAGTCTCTCTAAAGTGGTCCAGACAAGGCTTTGTATAGAATAAATCTTTTTTTTTTCCATCTTCTAGTTTTGATTTAAGTATTTTGAATACATTTTCTTTTCCATTGACACTTAGTAGCCTAGAAGCAGTCTGACACACGCACATCATATGTACGCACACGTGTGTGCGCACACACACACATACACACACATGCTCACTCCTTACCTGACCCCACCACCCCACCCCATACGCTCACAGAGTTCTGGGTATCCACACTATAAAGAACAACCAAACTTAGAAGCAGTGTCATAAGTCACGTTTCCCTTAAATTAGGAAGGGTGAACTAGAACGCCGAAGACTAAAAAATCCATAGCTTGAACATAAATTAGGATGCTGAACACTTAAAAAAAAATCCATAGCTTTAATGCAATTTACAAACTGTCCAAAAAGCACTTTCATCTGCACTTTTGTTTTCATTGTGACCAAGACTAGTTTTTTCACAATGTAGGATAACCATTTGGACACCACTGTAACAGAAGGTATTCAGGCATTCTACTCAAGCCTTATTTACCCTATGTAAAAAAAAAAAAAAAAAAATTGTACAAAATGCATTATAGCAGCCAAGATGACAATTCCATGGTTCCAATCCTTAAAAAAACTGTTAGACATTTAAGTTTAGGAAACTTCAGTTGTAAGAACAACTACGAATAACTGTCCTGGTACCACCAAGTAGTTTGTGTCATCAAGCAGGTGTTTCTTTGATAAGGAAGAAAAAATGTGGTTTTTCACATCCTTTTTTGGACTCCATATTTTTTGTCAACTGAATTATTGTTTCACTTCAGATCTCAACTTAGATCCACATAATAGTTGTTCCCTCATTTTACCAAGCATGTCTCTATTTCTGTTCCTACACAGTGATGTACCTTGCTCTTAGATTCTATCTCCTGCTCTTCTCTCAGAAAGACCTAATTGGAGTTTCATGTTACTGGATCTTAGTTAACCATAAAAACAATGTCATAGGAGGTGACTGCTACTGAGATTAGAGCACTACTATCATCATTTTGCATTAGGTACATGCAATCTGGAAAAGGGATTTCTTTTAAGTTCAACATAAAGTTCTCTCTCACCCTTAGAGAAATTCAATTAGCTCTTACTGTCTCACAATGAACACTGAAATTAGGTTTAGTTGCTCTTTAATGCGCTAGCACCTGAGGCTGGTCATATTCAGAAAGCTTTGGTTAAAAAGAAGTTAACGTACTTTAATAGAACCATCCACAAATTTAGTGAATTGGAATGACAAAAAAAAAACAAACAAAAACTTCCCCTAAACCAAATACTGTTTTCCCCCAAGGATTAAAAAAAAAAGGACAAATAAATAACTGAACTAAACTTGGTACTCTTTTTAGAGTATAAATACTATTAATCTTTACAGGAACTATGTTTATGTAAATTTAAAAAATGTAACCGAATCTTCTTGCCCAAATATAAATATATGCTTAACCTTTCTATATAAACACATGAAGTTTTATATGACTGTAGAAATGTAAGTAAATATTACTCTCATCTATTTATGGTTAAACTCTGTCTATATATATATATATATATATATATATATATATATATATATATTTATATTTAAGTCTTTTAGATGTTATTTAGGCTTCATACATACTTCTGTGTAAATAATCCTTCCCCCTTTTCCAACACAGTAAAGGGCTTTGGGAAACCCAGGCTGGTGACTCAGCATGACATCAGAAGCGGACTTCCTGGGGAAGGATCAGAGTGGCAGAGGAGACGCTTTCGGGGCTGTAAAGGGCTGTTCAGAAACTCCCACCTTTACGCCATGGGGTGATGTTTCCTTTCTGTACAAACATGTTCAGATGTGGCCATGGATGTCAGACCAGAAGTTGGATTCCCAACCTGGTATGACTAACATCATATTCTAAATGCCTAGCTTCCCAAAAGGTAACCCTGTTTCTAAAAACATGCACACTTGTTCCCCACCCTCCCTCCCAACTTGGAATTATTCAAAACTAAACAAAACTAAAGTAAAACAAATCAGTATGTCTCACCTGAACACCAAAGCCAAACAATCTTCTAAATATTTAATAAAATAAATTACAGTCCACAGTTTTCTAGTGATGATAAATACAAGAGTAAATGTTTGCAGCTAGCATCAACTTCACTTTAAAGGCTTAACACATTTACTATTTAAATAGGAGAAAATGGTTCAATATTGTATGCCTCCTTCACCCTCCTTGCCATTGTCTAGATAATATGGAGAGCAATATTCGAGCACTGTAACATCGAGAGGCAGCTAGTCGAGAATCAGTTCACTCTGGGATAAACTCTTAAGGTTCCCTAAGAACATAAACACTCACCAAGTATGTGCTTCATGTCCTCGTAAGTGGAGTGTGTGTTTGTTCCAGATAGAATCTTTGAGTCCTTCTTAAAATAAAAGCTGGATTTTAATAATATTCTTGTTATTGAGTCTCAAATCGTAAGGATTCCAAATTGAGACTGAATCCATTTAAGTACTAATTGTGTAAAATGAGCCTTTCCTCCTCTGCCACCATGAGGTGGCATGACAGAATAAATTCACAGCACCCATTGAACATTCAACTTTGTATGAAGCATAAACACATCTACCCAGAAACTTACCAAAAAGCAAAGTATCATTTAGGGAGAGTTCCATTTCTAATCCCAAATTCACATATTTAAAAAAAACAAAAAAACAAAACACTCAACATCATGATTTCTAGATATGACCAGCCAGTCTTTTAAAAGTAATTTTGTAAACAGCAGCATAAATACCTCCTGATGTACCTTCCAAGCCTTCTCAGTTAAACTTGGGCACATGCTACATGACAGTGAACACGCTAGTATTTAATTTAAAGAAAAAGGTGCAAAATGAAAGTGCCTTATCAATTCAACAGGAAAAGCTACACCAGTAACTACATTTTATATTAATTAAAACAATATATAAACAATATCTCTTTTAGCTATATATAGTCTTCATGCCCATTTACCCTGTAATATATTATAATGCTATTGTTGCTAGTGCTATGGACCCTTTTCATGCCGTCCTGCCGACTGGCAATAATCGGTGGAAAAAAAAAAACAAAAAACAAAAAAACTTCCTTCATGAAACAAAGAGCAAGTTGTGCAAAGTAATGCCGCAACCTCCGCTATGCACACCAGCCACCGATTATTGCCGGACTCTCTGTTGTTACTGACAGATTGGTGATGCTGTAGAAAGTCTGTGGGCAGTGAGCTACAAGAAAAGGAAATCCTCCGACTTTAGTACCCTCCTTCTGTGTAAACAGAGGTCAACGATCAAGAAGTCGAAACAGAAAAAGGGTCCATATCTGTAGGCATAATGGAAATCATATGCATGAGAAAAACAAGTTCAACTTTTATTTGTTTTCATTGTTTCCCCTCCTTTGCCTGACCCCGATCACCAAAAGATGTGCAGTGTGTTGGCGCTCCAGGTCTGTGCAGGGCCATATAAAGTGTCTTGATTAAATTTTTTTTTTTTCATGTTTGTACTTCAGACATTCTAGAAGTGCTTAGGTGATACATTTACCCATCAATTTGCATCGCTGGCTCAAATTCTGAAGTGAACAACTCCTTGTATAATGGAGGAAAGTGAAGTCGTACAATGTCTGGGTATATTGCTTTAAATGCCATCAGCTTTTCTGTATGTCGTCCACATAAGGCTCTTAATGTAGAAACCTTGCATATTAACTGTAAGTGGAAGAGAAGACAGGTTGTCAGGAGAGAACAGGTATGAAAATCAAGAACCAGGGCATCTGGAGGGTCTTCACAGCATGTTTATCATGGTGAAACACTTGGAGCCAACTTAAATGTCTAATAATAGAGGATTAGTAAACATAAATGATGATGTAGTCTTATCATAGAGCACCAGATATATATCAATATGATTTGAAGAAGAAGAATTTCATAACATAGAAGGATGTTCATAAGCAAAAGCTGACATAGCCTGTTAGTGGCAGAATGGAAAAGAGAACCCAAGTTTCCTGGCCTCTCTTCCTTTTCCAGCATGCTTCCTGCTCTACCATTCTTTCCTTCCTGCCTTCTACCACTTTGGGAAAAGAAGAGATTTGGTAAGAGAGAAGAGGGAGAGGCAATAGTCATATAGGTGAGGGCATGAGACTACATAAGGATGAATGCACCATTAAACATTTCATACAGAACAAATACTAGTCAACTCCAGTGCAATGTGATTCTTCTCAATGAAGAGTTTTGCCCATAACAAAGCAATTCTGGGTTTGACCAAAAGGCTCTGAGTGAAAAAAAAAAAGAATGAATAGTCAGAAGGCCTGGACTGACTCCCAGCACTGACCACTTAACAGCTGAGATAATAATAGGACTTGCAAAAATGTTTTGTAAATTTTAAAACACAATACAAGTGCAAAACACTTATTATCTCAACCCAAAACAATCCTCTTCAGTGATTATTTTCATCAAATCTTGTCCATGGTTAAGGACTCTCTTAAAAAAAAAAAAAAGAAGAAGAAGAACCACCACTTAATGGTACACTTAAGGAGCTCTGAGTGCTTAAGGCATTTGGCTGCTAACCAAAAGGTCAGTGGTCAAAACCACCAGCCACTCTGTGGAAGAAAGATGAGGCAATTTGCTTCTATAAAGATTTACAGCCTTGGACACAGGGGTGGTTATAAATCAGAATAGACTCAATGGCAGTGAGTTTGGTTTTTTTTTTTTTTTTTTTTAATGTTATACTCAAGGAGCCCTGGAGGTACAGTGGTTAAGCACTCAGCTATAAAACTTAAGGTTGGTGGCTTTAACCCACCAGCCTACCTTGCAAGCAGGAAGAAAGATCTGTTCCTGTAAGGATTATAGGCTCAAAAGCCCTATGGGGCAGTTCTGCTCTGTCCTCTAGGGTCTCTGAGCCACAGACACGAATGCACAAGACAATAGTACACTTGCACTGGGGCAAGGAGCAGAGGAGAGTGAAGCTCTAAACAGTTCCTTTCCTTTTCATTGCTCATTTTTCCCCCAATTTCTCATTTAACAAAATAAGAAACAAAACAGTAATTAACAGCTAATTTCTCCTTTCTGTTCTTCAATATCCTAATCTAGCTATCAGAAGAAAACAAAATAAACCAAAACTGAAAACCCTTCAAATCATTCTCTTGAGCAATCAAACACATAAAATAACCTGAGAAAGAATAGAGCTGGTTTTTCTAAGACCAACACGTATTATTAGCACTACCCCTGAAAAGATACAAGCATATTTTAAATTGACATCCTAATTATATTTTTATTGTGAAAGACGGTAATAGCAAAAGTGAAACCTTAGGCTTTGAATATAGAATAATGAGGAGAAGTTGAAGAAGAAAGTACAAAAGCCATTTACTGTTGATTACTAACACCTTTAATTTTTTTTCTTTCAACTTTTCCTGTCTTGTTATATAAGTGAGGTCAATACAATAATTTTTCCTTTTGTGATTGGCTTATTTCACTCAGCATAATGTCTTCCAGCTCCCTCCAAATTGCAGCACGTATCAAGACTTCATTTCTCTTACTGACTGAGTAGTACTCTGTTATATGTATGTACTGCATTCTATTTATCTGTTCATCTGTTGATGTGCATTAGTTGGTTTCCACCTTTTGGCTTTTGTGAATAGCGCTGCAGTGAACATTGATAGACAAGTCTCTTTTTGAGTCTCTGCTTTCAAGTCTTTTGTGTATGTATTTAGGAGTGGTGTTGCTAGGTCATGTGGTAGTTCTATTTTCAGTTTTTTGACGAACTGCCACATTGTTTTCCACAATGGCTGTACCATTTTGCATTCTTGCCAGCAATGGTTAAGTGTTCCAGTTTCCTCACGTCCTTGCTAACATTTGTTATTTTCTGTTTTCTTTATGTTAGCTATCCTAGTGAGGGTGAAGTAGTATCTCATAGTGGTTTTGAGGTTTTGATTTGTATCTCTCTGATGGTTAATGACACTAAACGTATTTTCATGTTTTCGGTGGCCATTTAAATATCCTCTTTGGTGAAATGCCATTCAAGTCCTTTGCCTATTTTATAATGGAATTATTTGTTTTTTTGTTATTAAGTTGTCAACATTTAATATGTATTTTGGTTATTAGATCCTTGCCAGATATATGTTTCTGAAGCTATTCTCCCAGTTAATAGCTTATCCTTTCACTTTTTTGGTTCTTTTGATGAACAAAAGTTTTTAGTTTTTATGAGGTCCCATTTATTTTGTCCTTTGTTGTTTGTGCTTTTGTTATTACATTAGAGAAACCATTGTTAAAAGCTAGGCCTGACAGCATCACCTCTACTTGTTCTTCTAAGAATTTTATGGTTTTGACGTGCACATTGGTAGTATAGTGCCTAAGGCACTTGACTGCCAACCAGAAGGCTGATGGTTCAAACCCACCAGCCACTCTTTGGAAGAAAGGTTGGGCAATCTACTTCTGTAGTGATACTGCCTCGGAAACCCAAGGAGGAGTTGCTATGAATCAGGTCCGACTTGACGGCACATAACAACAATAACAACGTGTACTTTTAGGTCCCTAATCTATTTTGAGTTTGGTTTTGTATATGATGTAAGGCCTGGATCCTGTTTCATTTTTCTGCATGTGGAAATCCATTTCCCCAACACCATTTATTGAAGAGACTCTTCTTTCACAACTGAATGGATTTAGCACCCTTGTCAAAAATCAGTTGACCATAGATAGTCAGTTTATCATCTGGACTCTCAATTCCATTCCATTGGTCTATGCATCCATTGTTATTCCAGTACCAGGCTGTTTTGATTCTACTGTAGCCGTTCTAAAATCAGGAAGTGTTAGTCCTCCTATTTTGTTCTTCTCTTTCAACATTGTTTTAGCTATTTGGGGCCTCTTGCCATTGCATATACAGTTGAGAATTGGTTTATGTATTTCTGTAAAGTTGTTGTTGTTGTTATGTCCCGTCGACTCAGCCCCAACTCATAGCGACCCCTCCTTGGGTTTCCGAGGCAGTATCACTACGGAAGTAGGATTGCCCAACAAGTAGGTGGTTGGAATTTTGATCAGAATTGCATTGAATCTATAGATCCGTTGGGTAGTGTTGACATTTTAACAATATTAAGTCTTCCAATTCATGAACATGGAACGTTTTTCCATGTGTTTAAGTCTTTTTTAATCTCTTTCAGCAGTGTTTTATAGTTTTCATTGTATAAGTCTTTCATGTCCCTGGTTAGATTTATTCTTAAGTATTTTATTCTCTTAGATGCTATTTGGGAGCTGTGGTGGCATAGTGCCTAAGGCATTTGACTGCTAACCAGAAGGCTGGAGGTTCAAACCCATCAGCCACTCCTCGGAAGGAAGGTTGGGCAATCTACTTCTGTAGTGATACTGCCTCGGAAACCCAAGGAGGGGTCTCTATGAGTCAGATCTGACTCGACGTCAGTGAGTAGATGCTATTTGGAATTGTTTCTGTAAATTCACTTTCATATTTCTCATTGTTGGTGTATAGAAACCCAACTGAGTTTTGTTTGTTGACCTTGTACCCTGTAACTTTGCTAAATTCCTCTATTAGCTCTAGAAGTTTACTTGTGGACTCTGAGATTTTCTATAAATAGGATCATATCTTCTGCAAACAGAGATAATTTTACTTTTTTTTCCCAACCTTGATAGCTTAAATTTCTTTTTCTTGTCTTACTCCTCTAGATATGACTTCTAGTGCAATATTGAATAGAAGTGTTGAGAGCAGGCACCCTTGTCTTGTTCCCAATTCAAGGTGAAAGCTCTCAATCATTCTCCATTAAGTACAGTGTTAGCTTTTGGCTTTTCATAAATGCCCTGAATCATATTGAAGAATTTCCCTTCTATTCTAATCTTGTTTATGGTTTTCATCAAGAAAAGAGGTTGGATTTTATGAAATACTTTTTTGCATCCCTAGAGATGATCATGTGGTTCTTTCTTTTGTTTTATTGATGTGGTGTATTACATTGATTGATTTTCTAATGTTGAACCACCCTTGCAATTCCTGGAATAAATCCCACTTGGTCATGGTGTATGAGTCTTTTAATATGCTGTTGGCTTCTGTTCACTAGTATTTTGTTGAGGATTTTTGTATCTCTATTCATAAGAGATATTGGCCTGTAGTTTTCTTTTCTTATGGTATCTTTGGTTTTGGCACCAGGCTTATATTTGCTTCCTAGAATGAATTAGGGAGTATTACTTCCTTCCATATCTTTTAGAAGAGTTTAAATAGTATTGGTGTCAATTCTTCTCTAAATACTTGGTGGAATTACCCAGTGAAGCCATCAGGTCCAGGGTTTGTTGTTGTTGGGAGGTTTAGGATCACTGATTTGATCTCTTCGCTTGCTATAAGTCTGTTGAGACTTTCTGTTTCCTCTTTTTGGATAGGTTATGCTTCTAAGAATTTGTCCATTTCATGTAGCTTTTCCAGTTTGTTGCCATACAGTTGTTCATACCATCCTGTCATAATCCTCTTTATTTCTATCAGGTTGTTGTCATCTCCCTTTCATTCTTAATTTAGGTTATTTATATCTTTTCTCTTCTTTGTCTGTTTAGTCAATGATCTTTTTATTGATCTTTTCAAAGAATCAGCATCTGATTTTATTGATTCTCTGTCATTTTTCTGTTTTTGATTTTTTTAATTTCTGCTTTGATCTTTGTTACCTTTTTCTTGTAGGTCTAGTTAGTTTGGTCTTCTTTTTCTAGATCCTGGAGTTATTGTTGAGTTAGGCTATTAATTTAAGACCTTTCTTCATTTTTTTATGTAGGTATTTATTGCCATATATTTATTTCCTTCACTACATCCCACAAGTTTTAGTAGGGAGTGTTTTCATTTTCATTTGACTATAAGAAATTTGTGATTTCTCTCTTGGCCCATTGGTAGTTTAATAGTGTGTTGTTTAATTTGATTACTAATGACTTTAATGGAAATAGAACTAATTAATATTAAAGTTTATCCAACCCAACCCACAGCCATCAAGTTGATTCTGACTCACAGAGACCCTACAGAATGGAGTAGAACCACCCCATAGGGTTTCCAAGGCTGTAAATCTTTACAGAAGCAGATGGTCTCATCTTTCTCCCATGATTAACCTACTGGTTAGCAGCTGAATGCCTTAATCACTGCACCACCAGAACTCTTTATATTAAAGTATATAGTTGGTTAAATTTTTAGCCCTTTATATCTTCTTCCTTCTAAATTCAAAGATTCCTTCTCTATCAATACAGAATATCAACTCTACTTTATCCCCAAGTTTGATGGACTAGGAGGAGGATTTCCAGAATGTAATAATAATTAATTGTTATTATTATTTTTTTAACTATTGCCCTGTTATTGCAGTATACTTTGTAAGACCTGATAATGAATAGAATTTAACCTGAACAACGAGTTTAATCTGAACAACAGAAGTTTTCTAAATGGAGGTACTTCTTTCTTTTTCAGTAGCCTGTTTCTTAGTGATACTTTTGAAGGCTAGTCAGGGAAACCACCTCTTCATCTCACAAGGGCAGGTGGGCAGCAGCATCTGTGCTGTGGAATAATTCAGGCCGTGCCATTGGAAACCCTTTGTCTCTTACCTTTGTTAATATTCCATCCTCTCGGTGATTCTTCTGTAGGACGTGTTGAAGAGCCAGCTGAATTTTCTGTTGCAGCTTTTCAATTTTTACCTTTTCCTGCAGCCATGAGCGATCTAGACATGAAAAATGATATTTCTTAGCACTCTTCCAATGTGGTATTGGAACACTTCATTCTTTTTGACTCTTAGACATAGATTATGATACTATAATGCCTATTTAGAGACTATCGGGCCAGTTCCATTCTTTCAAAATTTGTTCCTACAGGAGTTGAAAACTGATCTATGACAGTTATAAAACAGGATGTTAAACCTTTCCATTTTACTGATGCTTAAAGGAAGGAAGGCTCTTCCTCTTTCAAAAGGATAACCAATTAAATTTAAGGTCATACCTATATGTGTGCAAAGAAACCACCATGGCCCCTCAAGTCTTCCTAATAATTACATTTCTGAATGAAATACTCATATTAATACTGCTAACTTTTCTGGTAAATATGAAAATTGCTTTATAATCCAAGGCAATTAAAAATGCTATAGGATTTCAAATGACTTAAGGATAAAAACTTTAGGATAAATTTTTTATTTGTAAGAATCCCAAATAGAAGATAGTAAATTTGCGAAACTGATTATCCTCAAGAGACACTGCTGGTTGAAAACAGATTAAATTCAGATAACATTCAAATGGATTTTAAGAAAAAAGCAAGATATCTTAAAATCACATCTTATCACGGCAACTGGTGTTATGAAAGGTAAGCTTACCCTGCCACAAACAGCAGAAGGTTTATTCCAGACTAAAAAACAAAAACAAAAATCCAAAAAAACAGGAGCTCTGGTGGCACAGTGCCTAAGGCATTTGACTGCAAACAGCAGAAGGTTAATTCTAGACTAGGTTTTATTCAATTCTAATTTCTTAAAATTTCATCCAAAAGAAATGAGATTTTTTCAAAGGGTGTATGTGTATATGCACATGTGTGCTGGATAGATGTTACTTGAAAACTTAAAATTAGATTTAATAAGGGAGCAGTCCTTCTCATAGCCTCCCAAATATCCTATAGTCATTAGAAGTCATGCACCTTGTAAGAAAAATTCTTTACCTGGACAATTTTGAAACCATTTTATTATTTTTATTTGGTTATCTCACCTGCTGACATCAGTACAAATGCAGAAAATAATGCAATTTCATCTTCAGTCAGGTGCATAGAACATAAACTCTTCCCAAATTCAAACACAAAGCTAATAAAGTCTTCACAACCTGCCAAAATGAAAGTAGAGGCAATTTAGGATTTTGGTTATTATCCTGGGAAAAACTGTAAAAGAAACTAAAGAGGGTTGTAGTAAAAGTGTTTGCAGATCTGATGGGATGATAACAGCACCTGTATGGTTTAATAACTTTGAAATCTTAAAAGAAAATTCTGTTTAGCCAATAGCACCACCATCATCATCATTCATAATAATGAGAATGAATATTTATTACATGATATACTATGTGAGGTATTGCTGTTACTTCTTTGGGTTGCCTCCTATTTCACCCTATGAGGGAGGTATTATTATTATATTATCCCCGCTGTAGAGATGAAAAAGCTGAGTTTCAGAAATAATTCATCCAACACCACCCAAATAGGAAGCAACAGGCTGAGATTCAAACCTAGACTGCCTGACTTCAGAGCACACACTTTTAACCAGTAGAGTTTAACAGCTACCATTTAACTAAAATGATAAATTCACTCAATTTTCTTTTCTACTGTGTTGTATGTAATACACCCTTTAAAACATTAACAAGTGACACAGTCTGGTGATAAAACTATTAGGACCATTACAGAAGTGAAAGCATAGAATGTGAAAGTTCTCTACAATAATAACCCCATCCCCCGAAAACTAGTTAGGTTTCACGTCTATTCTTTCAAATTTGCATGAAATACATACTGATGTGAGGTACTGGAGAGTCAGTTCTGACTCACAGCAACTCTATAACAGAATGAAACACTGCTTGGTCCCATCTCATCCTCACAATCACTGCAATGTTTGAGTCCATTGTTATAACCACTGTGTCAGTCCATCTCATTGAGGGTCTTTTTCATTTTCATTGACACTCTATGTTACCAAGCATGATGTCCTTCTCTAAGGACTGGTCCTTCCTGATAATGTATCCAAAATACATAAGATGAAGTCTTGCCATCCTCACTTCTAAGGAGCATTCTGGTGTACTTCCTCCAGGACACGTTTGTTTGTTCTGGCAGTCCATGGTGTATTCAATATTCTTCACCAACACTAATTCAGGTGCATCAATTCTTCCTTGGTCTTCCTCATTCATTGTCCAGCTTTCACATACACTGAGGTGATTGAAAAGACCATGCATCTTAGTCCTCAAAGTGACATCTTTTCTTTCTTTCTTTTTAAAAACACTTTAAAGAGGTCTTTTGTACCAGATTTTGCTAATCATCATTTCATGTCCTGACTGTTGCTTCCATGGGTGTTGATTGTGGATCCAAGTAATGAAATCCTTGACAATTTCAAAGTTTTCTCTCTTTATCACAGTATTGCTTATTGGTCCAGTTTAAGGATTTTTGTTTTCTTTATTTTGAGGTTTAATTCATACTGGAGGGTGTAGTCTTTGATCTTTATCGTAAGTACTTCAAGTCTTCTTCACTTTCAGCAAGCAAGGTGTGTTATCTGTAATCACGGGTTGTTAATGAGTCTTCTTTCAACCCAAATGCTGTGTTCTTCTTCATATAGTCCATCTTGTCGATTATTTGCTCAGGATACACAATGAATAAGTATGTTGAAAAAATATAACCCTGATGTACACCTTTACTGATTTCAAACCATGTACTATCCCCTTATTCTATTTGAATGACTGCTTCTTGGTCTATGTATAAGTTCTGCATGAGCACAAGGAAGTGTTCTGAAATTCCCATTCTTCACAATATTATCCATAATTGTTATGATCCACACAGTCAAATGCCTTGCCATAGTTAATAAAACAGGTAAACATCTTTCTGGTATTCTCTGCTTTCAGCCAAGATCCATCTGAAATCAGCAATGATATCCTTCATTCCACATCCTCTTCTGAATCCTGCTTGAATTTCTGGCAGTACCCTATGTATTGCTGCAACCACTTTTGGATTACTTTTTTAGCAAAACTTTACTTGCGTGTAGTATTATTTATAACTGTTTGATAATTTCTGCATTCTGTTGGATCACCTTCCTTTAGAATGGGGACAAATATGGATCTCCTACAGTCAGTTGGCTAGGTAACCATCTTCCAAATTTCCTGGCATTGATTAATGCTCCCAGCATTTAATCTGTTTGTTGAAACATCTTAATTATTACTCTGTCATACCAACTGTATATACATTATGGCTCCAGTTCTGAAGTGTACAACTCCTTGTATAATGGAGGAAAATGAAGTCACACAATGTCTGAGTATATTGCTTTAAATGCCTTTAGCTTTTCTGCATGTCATCCACATAAGGCTCTTAATGTAGACACATTGCCCATTAACATCTATTTAAATGGCAATGGGCAACTCTATACTTATTTATACATGCCTTCTGTCACGTAATTTTTAAAAAATATCAATGTATCTTGGGTATCTTCCATTCTTCTTCTTCTCTTTCTTGCTTTCTTTGGCTTTAATAAATAAAAACTTATTCTCTCACAGTTTGTTGTTATGTGCCTTCGAGTCAAACAGAGCACTGGCTACAGGGTAAGCTTTCTCTGTCAGCTCTGCAGGAAAGTGTCGTCAATCTTTCCCTGGGTCTTGAAGTTTCTCAGCACAGGGACCCCAGGTCCAAAGGATGCACTCCACTCCTGGCTCTATTTTCTTGGCAGTAGAAGACGCTTCTTCCTTCCATTCTTCTTAATGACCACATTCCACTTTATTTAAATTAGAAAAATCTATAAATACTTTATTCATGAATGTATATGTCACAGTTTCACTTAGCTATATTTTCTTTCTCTGATATCTGTATCTAATTTTCATTAATGACTGTTTAGGAGGGTAGGTTTTTGGCTCTTTGCTTGATTTTATTTGTCAAATCATGTCTTGTAAGTTATTTGAGTTAAATAACCCCTGTAAATCTGGTTTCTAAAAATCTAGAAGAAAATTGGAAGGACACATAAATCTCTTTGATTACCAACTAGATAAAAGGAAACTCTAGAGCCTTTACATGTAATATTCTGAAAAAGCTTTTAAGCAGTATAAATCTTTTACAGGGATTAAATATAAAGTAAAATAATATTTTATACTTACGACACACACACAATATATACAGTAAAATCCTTTATTTTTTGTTTCCCCATAACTAGCTTCCAATTTTGTTCAGTGAGAGCGCTCACCCCATCCACATCTTTGCCTACAGTCTTGATTTAAAGATCAAGCACCTTGCAAGTTCCTCACCTAAGGATTTGAAGACATCTGGGCTAGCATACTTTCCATCAAAGTACACGGTGTTGTTCTGAGAGTCAAAGGCACGGCACATTCTGATGAACACCACCTCTAGAGAACCTGAGCGAGGACAGACACGATTTGGATTAGTACATTTCAAGGAGTTATTTCCATGGTGCTAAATGCAGAGCCCTTGTTTGGACACAGGATGGTGGGAGTTGTGTGTGGTTTAGCTAGTGGGCTCTCGGTCACATTAACCATCTATTCCAGAAGGGGTAAGGTTCACTACTGTACTTAAAAATGATTGTGCTGAAGTTAAGCACTGTTTTGCAAAAGGATTGATTTACGCAAATTACTTCTTTGGCACCAGTCTGCCTTCTGATGTAGAATCTCAAAGTCGCTAGGAAAACATTTATTCGTAATTAAATTTACAAAAATCCACCAAACAACAAGAAACAGGGATGTGTCTCTGAGTTCTACTAACAGCCTTCTTCTTAACAACTGATTGTAACTTCCAGTGCATGTGCAGTGTAGAAGCAAAACTCAGGTAATGGTAAAATTTGGGATTGCAGGTGTTGTTCAAATGAATTTCTTCACCCAGAGGAGAAGCAAAATGGAGGGGATGTTTCCTGAAAATAGCTCAAGAACCTTTAAAAAATACTGTTTCTTCTAAGAGAAACGTGAGCAATTATCATCAGAATAAAACTATTCCCGACACCTTCCTTACCAAGCATTTCTTTAATAAGTTGGTGAAGCAGGTTAGGCAGAGATTGCAAAATTTACCTGCAAAGCACATACCTGCTTTTAGAAGCACAATTTGATCGTTTTGACATAGTTCCATAAATCCATCGATGCGTTTGGCGAACTCCACCACGTACTGGATAGCTTCTGTAATTTTGATGGCACACAGCTGCCACATCACCTCCCGCTGCTGTTAAAGGGGGCGACATCAACATCACGTTCATCCTCAGTCTTGGCACAACTGGTTTAACTTTCTATTTTGTAAAATCCTTCTTTAGAAATGGATTTAGAAAAGCTAGAGGATTAGGAAAAAAAAAAAAAAAACCAAAACACAAGAGCCAGGAAAAGTAACGTGAGCCATCATGTTAGCCCTGGTCCACGGAGAGTGCCCAAGTAGAATCTTCTTCTGAGATGTTGCTTTGCTTTGGGGACGTATAATACTATTGTATTGGGGGAAGGGAAGGAATAGAGAGTTGATTAAATATATTGTGCATCTACTATGAGCTGAATGCTTTACGACCTTCTTGTCTTATTTCATTTTTACAAGATTACTTTTCTATTTTATAGGAGTGGGGACTGATGCCCAGAGAATTTCACAGCTAGGAGGCAGAGGTGCTAGGACTGAGATCCAAGTATGTCTTCCTCTGAAATGCCCTTTCAGATGTCCTGCTGCTGCATAGTGTTTATTTGTTTCCCTCTGTATCTCTGCCTGCTGGTGTCATCTGTTCTCTCGTAGGCAAATAAAGTGATGTGTGCTATTCCCTAACCTATCTTGTTTAATTCCTTTTACATACTCATTCTCCAATTTAGTTACAGGGTGATCTGTGTCTGTTGCATTTCTCTTAGTGGTTTCTCTGATCCTAATTGAAGGCTGTTTCCACCAATATGATTTGGTGAATTAAGAGCCAGCAGTCATAGCCCTGGTAGCAAAAGCATTAAGCACGCGACTGCTAGCTGAAAGGTCGGTGGCTTGAACCCACCCAGTGGCTCCATGGAAGAAAGACCTCATATGATCTGCTTCTGCAAAGATTACAGCTTAGGAAACCTTATGGGGCAGTTCTACTCTGTCACACAGGGTCGTTATGAGTTGAGATTGACTCGATGGCATCCAACAACAGCCATGGATTCTAGTTTTTGATGTTTTCACTCTCCAGCCATATGCCAAGGGACATATGTGTTCTCATATATAAAATGAGGAAACTCATTTAGCCCTCCTGGGACTGTACTTGCCACATATGTAAAACGAAGGAGAAGGTTAGTCTACATAATCTCTACAAGCCTTTCCAACCTTGACTTTCTATGATTATCAGGAAAAACAGCAGCATTTTCTTTTCACCAAAGACAGAATGGACTTAGTTCCTCATCTCCAGTCTTGCCCTCTCCTTAGCTCTGCCATTTTAGTAGCTTATTGATCTAGAAGGTGGCAGGTAGCAGCATTTTTTTCAGCCTCCATTGCTAGGGTCAGATTGGAGTTATAGGCATAGCTGTCAAAGCTTTTTTTTTTTTTTTTTTTAAATGCACTCTATTTAAACTCCCTCTTCTTAACTTCCGGAAACATGAAGCTGAAATTATTTTACTCTAGTTTCCTAACCTTAAAATCTGCCACCGTGATATTGAGACAAATCCCAGTTCATTCAGCCTTTTGGAAGCTGCTCAATCTAGTCCCCTGTTGACAGGCTGAAGGAGATACGTGCATACTTAGACACACAATAGAATTTATTCATGAGTACTGCAGTTTCGCAAGCTGGCATGTCACTAAGATGGCAAGGCTCGAAGTACATCACTGGCTCTGGAGAAAGATTTTTACACTGAAAACTGATATCTGATGAAAGACATTCTTTCTTCAGTTTATAGTGTTCTCTCAGCCAACTCTCCTGCACCAGCACACCCTTCCTGATGGTGCCTCAATCCTAGGTAAAAGCCCTTCGACTATACCTTGTTCTGATAGTTTTCAATCTCCTCTTGCAGAAAGGTCTGCCACGTTATCTGCTGGAGCTCTTCTCTCAAGTATTGGCAAGTCTCCAGGTGTGACTTAGATATATTCTGTGCAAGGTGTTCTAAGGAGAAAACAGATTACAAACATGAAAAGCCAGGCTATTCCTTGGATCATCAGTGTTTTCTCTACTTCATATTGAGTTTTAAAATGCCAAGTATAAAGCAAAGTGCTTGGACCAGTTTTGTGGACCCTTACACATTTAAATGAGCAATGTATTGATTACTAACTATTCTGTATTTTGGAATGTGAAGAGGGAAGACAGGGACTGTGGAAAGCCAACATTTTACAACAAGGTTTGGCGACTTCAGACTTTCCTGACCTTGACCTTGTTCTGTGCTACTACATAAATGTCTGGGAAAGAACAAATATTGACCTAGATAGGTGTGGGAAATGACTGGCACAACTTCTTAGCATTTTTATGAAGACATACATTGTGCTGGGAAGAATTACTCTGAAAAATTATGAAATGACATACTTTCATGATGACCACTATGTATTTCTTTTGTTTTTCCTGCAAACAGGAGAACAAGCATTACTGAGGACCTACCACATGGGGTTGCCATGACTCAGAATTGACTCAGTGGCAACTAACAACAACGATGTGACTATGTACAGCATAGTGCTTAAGAGATGAACTCTGGAGCATAACTGTCTGAATATGAAATTCGGTTCTGCTACTTACCAGCTGTGTAATATTGGGTAAGTTACTTAACCTCTCTGTGGTCTGTATTTCTTATTCATAAAATGAGGGAAACTGTACTAGTGTCATTGTGCAGTTGTTGGATTTAAATGAACTGAGCACTGAGAACAGGGAGGGTTATAAAATGTGTGCTATATAAATATTAGTTAATTATTATTCTTGAGTGTAAGGGGTTTGAAGATATTAAGACACAGATGCCTTAAAAGTTTCTATAGGAATTTATAATCTAGTGAATGTGAATGGATAGTTCAAGAAACTAGACAGTAAAGTTCAAAGTTGAATTAGATCAGAAGAGAAAGAAAAATTAATAGATGCTGTCAGGAAAGGGAGAGGTCAATGTTGGCTTAGTGGGATTAGGGGATGCTTTTTGGCAAGATAAGGAGTTCTGGTGGTATAGTGGATAAGGCATTTGGCTGCTAACCTGAAGGTCAGCAGTTCAAACCCACCAGCTGCTCTGTGGAAGGAAGATGGGGCAATCTACTTCAGTGAAGATTTACAGCCTCAGAAACCCAATGGGGGTTGCTATGAGTTGGGATTGACTCAATGGCAGTGAGTTTGTTTTTTTTTTTTGGCAAGAGAAGCACTGGAGTTGGACCCTGAAGGGTGGGTAGGATTTGGTTGGCAGAGGTCACTGGTGTGGAAAGAAAGGCCATTTCCACGTAGGAGGGATGGCAGGTGAAAGAACAAGTATGGCATTTACAGACGATGGGGCAGATTTGTTAAAGTGTTAGGGTCAAAACACAAATCTGGGTAGGTAACAGTCTAAATCACAAAGGATCTTGAATGTCAGGTCAGAGTTTGGACTTGTGATAATAATAATAAAAAATCAGCAGGATTCTCCATGGGGGGGCTATGTGTTAGAAATTATATCTGAGGAAATAGGACAGGCAGTTTTGTGCTTGGTGGATCTGAGCGGGGAGAGGCTGGGGGCAGGGGCACCATCAGATGGCGGTTGGAACCTAGATGTGAGGGACAAAGAGCCAGGACAGGTTGGTAATAACTGTTATGGAAGAGAAGAACAAATTAAGTATTTTAAAAGAAGAACTAGCAAGACTCTGTGAATATAAAACAGTACAAAGTAAATGACCCCATTCCTATGGTCTTGAATACATTATAGAGAAGTCATTTAAAAGAATGGCGCTGAATGCAAACTTGGCAACAGTAGTTAAGAATGCCTATTTATTTGGAAATCTGTTACTTCTTTAGTCAAACAGAACCAGACTTGTTTGTGGGAAAACAGAGCAGGCTCACCTAGATAGAGCTTGAAACTAGAATCTCCTTAGAGACACTGAAACATAATAAAACTTAATGGCTCTACTTGGCAACACAGACATTAAAACAATATAAATAAATAAGTAACATAAGAAAATAAAACACAAACAAAGGAAAAAAAGAGGAAAGAAAGAGACAGGGAGAGTAAGAGGGAGAAGCTGGGAAATTGTGTGCCTGAGAATTAATGACATTTGGCAAGAAAAGAGAGGACTAAAGACAAAAATAATGGGGAGTGGGAAACACAAAAATAAATGTGTAAAAAAAGGTTGTGAACTATCTCCCATAACAAGACCTCTCTCTGTATACAACAGGGAGCTCTGGTAGTGTAGTGCCTAAGGTACTTGGCTGCTAACCAGAAGGTTGGCAGTTCAAATCCACCAGCCACTCCTCGGAAGGAAGGTTGAGCAATCTACTTCTGTAGTGATACCGCCTTGGAAACCCAAGAAGGGGTCGCTATGAGTCGGGTCCAACTCAACGGCACATAACAACAACAACTTTATAAGACAGTTTCTAGAATGTAAACTTTTTTGCAGATATGAAAAAATGATGGAGATGAGTGCCTTCACAGGAAACAAGTGTCTAGAGGGGGCTATGGTAGGTAGGATGGGAGAAAGCTCATAGAATTTTCTTCTAGATTATGCTTCTTTTCCAGTTATTATAGTCAGCATCTTATTGTTTCATTTCATCCTAAAAAGTGGTCCCATTTACTCCCACTATTGAGTTCAGCTTTTAAACTCGTTGCTGTCAAGTTGATTCCAACTCATAGTGACCCTATAGAACAGAGTGGAACTTCCCCATAGGGTTTCCAAGGCTGTAAATCTTTACAGAAGCCGACTGTCTCATCTTTCTGCCAAGGAGCAGCCGGTGGGTTCCAACACAGACCTTCTGTAAGCAGCCAGGCTTAGTTCAGCTTTTGTTGTTGTTATTGTTGTTATGTGCCGTTGAGTCAGCCCTGACTCATGGCGACCCCTTCTTAGGTTTCCGAGGTGGTATCACTATGGAAGTAGATTGCCCAACCTTTCTTCTGAGGAGTAGGGTGGGCTTGAACTGCTGGCCTTCTGGTTAGCAGTCAAGTGCCTTAAGCACTACGCTACTGGAGCTCCTAGTCCAGCTTTTAAGGAGAGCCAATTAGAACTGAGACAAGGAATAATGTAATGTGCATGACAAACCACCAGAGGGCAGTGGCTCCATTCTCACAATAGCTACAAAGCATTTGATTCCGACTCACAGTTGATTTGGCTAGTACAAGATTTTAGACACTTTGCTATTTTTAAATCTCTATTTCAGCAAAGAAGAATATGGCCAGTCTGAATAAAAGATAAGAAGTTAGTGCAGTTTCTCAGAAAGACAGACTGGAATAGTAAAATACCTTGAACCACGAGTTAGGAGACCAGGTTTCTGGTTTAAGCTGGGTTGATTCCTCACTTTGTGATGGTTAGTTACTTCACCTCCTCAGTCACGATTACTTCATCACTAAAACTAAGGACTAGATACTTCAGCTATAAAATCCTGGCTTCTGACTTAGTCAAGATTTCCATAGTGAGAAGGAATTTAGACATCTGGTCCAAACACTCCTTATTTTACAGATAATAATTAGGATAGTAACGAACACTAATGGAACATTTACTACGTGTCAGGCTGATAAAATGCACGTGCACATGTGCGCACACACACACACACACACACATATATATACATGTATAAAAACCAAACTCACTGCCATCAAGTCGATTCCGACTCATAGTGACCCCTTTTGGGTTTCTGAGGTGGTAAATCTTTACGGATGTAGATTGCCCAGTCTTCCTTCCATGGAATGGCTGGTGGGTTTGAACTGCCAGCCTTTTTGTTAGCAGCTGGGTAGTTTAACCACTGCACCACCAGAGCTTATATATATATATATATAAGACACACATATATATATATTTACACACACACATATAAATGGGTATACACACATGAGTTTCAAGGTTGTAAATCTTTATGGAAGCAGACTTTTTCATATTTCTTCCACAGGGAAGCTGGTGGGTTCAAACCACCAACATTACGGTTAGCAGCCAAATGCCTTAACTAATACACCACCAGAGCGCTTTCACATATACTTATATATAGTATAAAAAATATATACCTTATTGTTGTTGTTGTTGTTGTTATGTGCCGTCGAGTCAGCCCTGACTCATAGCGACCCCTCCTTGGGTTTCCGAGGCAGTATCACTACGGAAGTAGGATTGCCCAACCTTCCTTCCGAGGAGTGGCTGGTGGGTTTGAACCGCCAGCCTTCTGGTTAGCAGTCAAGTGCCTTAGCCACTATGCTACCAGTACACCTAATATACATCATTTATCCTTCTAATGACCCTTGAAAGGAGGTAACTATCATTTATCCTTCTAATGACCCTTGAAAGGAGGTAACTAATATTAGCTCCATTTTATAGGTAAGGAAACTGAGGCACAGTGAAGTTAAGAGTCTTTTCCAAGGTGTCACAGCTGGCAATTGGCAGAGTCAGGATTGAAACCCAGATAGTTTGGCTCTAGACTTTGCTCTTAAGCATTATATTCTATGGACAGGGAAACTTCAGCGTGTGGAGATTACATGGGTTATATAACTTATACGTAGCAAAGCTAGGACCACAATCCATAGAAGCTGACTTCTTGTCTCACACTTGGCCCAAGATAACAGTTGTCTCTTCTGCATAGAGCTTTCGTTATCAATTATAGTAACAAGTACAGTTAGCTTTTTGTTTTAAATGATCCTAGGTTGTTTTTTGGAATGTATAATTCACATACTAATTATACTCTAAGGCCTAAAATTCCTGGCCAGGGATGCAGATGAATTTCCATTAAAAGTTAACTTGTTATAGATGCTGTTACAGAAAGATAGAATTGAGCTTTAAAATATGTTAACTTACAATTTATTTTCTGATTGTACAACTCGTTTCATTTGTTTAAAAGCCAATGACAAAATTTAGCCAAAAATGTAGTCTCTCTCAGTTACAGAGAGAGCAGGACTTGAGCCCCACAGGAAATACCAGGGAACTTTAGGTAGCTTTGAAGTAGGGGCAGCAGAGTCTTTGGTCACTTTAATGCTACTCTCAGCTCCCTAAACAATTCTGCACGTGTAAATGGGTTAGAGAATTAGAGCCTAATAATATCCTTTTCAGGTAAATTCTAGTTTAATTTTGGGGTGGAGACCAATCCTAGGGATGAGCTAATTTTACTTATCTGGGAAGATGCCACGATAGGTGTGAAATCCTTAATTTAGAAGAACAAATTGAAAATCCAGGGCTCTTGGATTGTACGAGGAGGGAACAACTGGAAGAGGAAACTGCTTTGTGTGGGGGGGTGGCGCTCAGAAGCATCAGCTTCAGCCATTGCCGGCCCCACTCTGGTATCAATATACTTTTAGCCCAAAGTGCCATGTTCAAGGACAACACTCTGTCTAAATCTATGGATTTACTTCATGGTTGGACATTTGACAAGTGAACAGGATGTGTTCACTAGTATTTGTGATAAGATGGGGGCAAGCCTAGACTGAGGCAGGTCATTTTTCCATGGTATCATGTCAGCTTTCAATCACATCCTTATTCATTTCAGAAAATTTTACTTTCATTACAGTTCTGCTCAAGGCTCAGCCAACCAAGATTTCATGACAAAAACGGAAAGTTTTTGTTCTAGTTCAAGGAAAAAAAAGAATCAAACCTACCTCTGCTCAGCTTGGCTTCCAGTTCAGAGGTTTCTCTGTTAATCAAAAGAGCTGCGATACACCTTTAATGCTGTTCAGTGGTTAAAGACCAGGCTTAAAATGTCCTCGCTCTTGAGGATTTAAATTTAGACCCATAAAGAGCTGCTTGTGTAGAAACCGTAAAGAACATTCAATTTGTTCTATTTGGAGAAAGATTTTACTGGAAATATGAATTTTCACTTTTAAAAAAAATGTTTTATGGGCTACCCACCTACTGCCATCGAGTCAATTTCGATTCATAGTGACCCAATAGGACAGAGTAGAAACTGTCTCATAGGGTTTCCAAGGCTGTAAACCTTTACAGAAGCAGATGGCCAGATCTTTCTCTCATGGAACAGCTGGTGGGTTTGAACCACCGACCACTCAGTTAGCAGCTGATGGTGCAGTGGTCCTTTAGAGGGTACAGAAATAGTGAAACTATCTAAAGAACACAACCGTTATTTCTGTGAACTAAGCATTTCTGTACTTAAGTCAGAACCTGCTGGTTCTTTTCCATGGAAGTCTTTGTTCTCCCCTTGTCTTAGCTTAGTCATCTGCACAGCAAATGTCCCAAAGGACTGCAACCTTGAGGGGCAGATCCAATTCTAAAACTGCAAAGGTTCTTATCAAAGTTTCTCTAATAATAGTGTTGTACTCAGAAATCCATTAAATACAGCAAAGAATGTTAATACAACTTCCTTGAAATGGAAAGTTTTCCACTCTCTATGCTATCAGCATTTCTAGGTCACATCTCCAAAGCAGCAGCAATGTGACAGCAATGAAGAAATGGTGAGCTTTTTTTGGTTGTTGCTTATTTGTTTTGGCTTGGTGAGCCTTCTATGAAAGTCATCAACTTTGTCACCAGTATCCATCACCAAAACATGATGGCAATTACAAAAGTGCCTTTTTAACATTTATAGTCTGTTTCAGGGTTGAACACCTCTGATGCCTTCAGGAGCAGTTGATGTAAATGAGAGAAGTGGGCTGGGCCCACTGAAAGGCCCACCAGCCACTAATTAGATATCAAGGGCTGAGTTCCCTAGCCAGGGATGTTGGCATTTACAAAAGCTGGTTCTGTGTAACTTGATGACTATATAATTTTTTTCTCCCAAAAGCAGCTGAAAATCTGGGTTTTTCTGTGCAATTGTCCAGTTTTTAAATTTTAGCAACTGATTAAAAAATTATGTAACTGGGCATAGGTCAAAAAAAAAATCTATCTATGGACCAGATTCCGTTTGTGGGCTGTCATTTTGTGATCCTGGGTGTAAGCAACATTTGGAAAATAACTAAAGTGAGTAACTAATGAAATTCATGTAGGCATTCCCTGAGCTGAAAACTTTCTCTAAAATGTGAAGACTGCTAAAATTCACCACCACCACCACCACTCCAATCTCTCATAGTGAGAGGTCAACCCATGTATTAGATGTACCACAGGGAACAGCAGACAGTCAAAGGAAAGGCAGGATGGAATTGTGGGGTGGCCCTAATGGTAAAGATGAATTTCCCTTCTAGTTACATTATTTTAATAATTCTTTAGCAGAAAGTCAAATGTGTCACCTTTACTTCAAAGGACAATGAGAAGAGCATCCCAGTAGAAGCAGCTATGCCATTACCTAGTTCTGCCATGGACACAGTTGGGGAAGTCTCTCCATTGGTGAAAGAACAGTAGGGAAAGAAGCCTGATGCTGGTGTGTAGTCACATATTGGTTCTGGTTTGATTCCATTGATATCAAGACCTGACTGGTCTGGGGAAGGCTGTATGTCCAGGTAGAAGCTGCTGACCGCAGAGTCTGCCTTGCTCCCCTCGGGGGTGTGCCCGTCGATATAATTGCTGAGGTCATCATGAAGTTCCGTCAGCCCATTGGCTGAAATGTTGTAGGTGGGCGTCAGCGGCTCGGCCTCCCCGGGCTGCTGTTGGTGGTCACGCTGCTGTTGCTGCATCCGGTGTTTCTGCACTTCTGCGTACAAGCTGTCTCTTTGCTTTTTCGACATTCGGCCAAACTTTACAGCTGGAAGAGAAAAGCCGAACCACACCGTATACAAAGTGTTTTCCTTCATTATCTTTTCTGGCATGCTTTAGGGTTTCCTTTGAAGTCCCATACAGTCTCAACCAAAAACCACAACCAAAAAGTATGGATTGAATCCAAAGGTGAAAAGAGTCCCACCCCACGCAGTGTTGCTCCACCCCCAGTAGCCAACACAAGTCCCAGAGGAACTGACGGTTCACACACAGACCCAGGACAGGGTACCAAAGGCCCCAGAGCAATGTCTCCCCAAGTCATATACTCCTAGGCTCCTGGGTGCCACTGATACGAAGCTGACAGGGCTTGTTCGCTATTTCTCCTTGCAGCTGGCCTAGACCGTCTCTTTCTCTTTCCAGGGTTCAGACAACAGCTCAGAAAGGCATAGATTTACAGAGGTATATCAAGATAAAACCACTTAAATCCCAACTTTCATTCAGTTCACTATTCTATACACTCGAATGAGTTTCTTCCCAATGAAATGGCTGATACTGGGGCTTTATTGAGAGGCTCAAATAGACTGAGCTAGGCCTTTGTTAAGTCCCTGAATTACAAGCCTGAATCTACCTGATTTAAGAAGACCTTCCCCAACTCATGGTCATGGTTGTTGTTGTTGTTATGTGCCGTCAAGTCAAACCCGACTCATAGCGACCCCTCCTTGGATTTCCGAGGCAGTATCACTACGGAAGTAGGATTGCCCAACCTTCCTTCCGAGGAGTGGCTGGTGGATTTGAACTGCCAGCCGTCTGGTTAGCAGGCAAGTGTCTTAGCCACTATGCTACCAGAGCTCCCTGGGTCATGGTAGTCTCTCTGAAACTCTTGGGTCTCTCTTTAAATGTCACTTTCTGTTGCCCTCATTTAGCCTCAAGAAAAAAAAAAAGAGCGTCAGGATTTTGGAAAGGTGAAGCCTCGTTTAAGATCTCTGTTGGGTGAACATTTGGCTATGGATACACCCCCATATTAAACACAGAGCAACGACTGTAGTAACTTCCAGCTTACTCAGGATCCCAAATGATTTCTCCTGAAACACTCAATTCAGTGAGAAACAACTATGCTTTCCTGGCCCGATTCTCCCACTAATTCATTGCATTTCTCCATCAGATTTTGTAAACACAGGTAATGCCTCAGCTGGAGGAACTTAATTCTTTTACTGCATTGTGGTTAAACTGATAACCTGCAGGGGTGGATGACTTCATAAATTTGACCATCATCATAGTTATATGAGTCTAGGGGCAGGAGAGGAGCTCTGGTAGCATAGTACCTAAAGCACTTGACTGCTAACCAGAAGGCTGGCAGTTCAAATCCACCAGCCACTCCTCAGAAGGTTGGGCAATCTACTTCCGTAGTGATAACTGTCTCAGAAACCCAAGGAGGGGTCGCTATGAGTCGGGTCCTACTTGATGGCACATAATAACAACAGGGGCAGGAGGCAGGATGGATGGAAATGAACTTGGGACCAAGGCACTGGCCAGCTGGTGGGTTCTTTTTATGCCGAGGATGTGCTGTCCTGCTACATGGGAACAATGGGCTGGAAGACTGATAAATTTTCAAGTTCCACGGGTCAGGTAACAGAGATACCCTTAGGTGGGGCTGGCTATCAGCAACCAGGCTGATGTGGACTCTGAATTTCAGGCCCATAATTTTGTAAGTCCCCAAACTCACTCTTAGCCTACAACAACCTGTACTGTTTATCGTATGCAATATCTCCAGACAGCATGAGGAAGACACTTTATTTTTTAAAAGAATACTCTAGGACACCTGAGGTGATTAATGCCCACAGGTGAAACTCATTATATGGTGACTGTGCAATTGCATTTGAACTCTGACCTTGTTTCAAATATTAACAGGAATCATACCATCACATAAATAAAAACATCATCTCTTGAGAAAGTGCACATGCAACTTGGGATTTTAGTGTACAAATTCATAAAAGATATAGAGACTTCATTTTGTCAGTTGAGTGCCATCAAAGATGAAACCTGTGCATATAACAGGAATATCTAAGAATATTGTGTAAGTTCTGTGACTTGCATCTTTCGGTGCTAAAAATTTCCCTTCTGTTCCTTACGTGTTCTCAGAGGCCAGGCTGTGTACTGCTACTTGAACATGTCATAATTGGCACCTGGGAAGGTCCACAGGCCCTACGAACATCTGATTATGGGGAAGACTGACTTTCTGAAAGCCTGCCCAGTGTTCAGAAGTGTTTTTCCATGGGCTGGTGTTTCAGAAGGAAGTCCACTGGAAGAGACATTCCCTTCAAAGGAATGTCTTACAAGAGCCAGCTGATATTTTAGAAAAAGTCCTTGAAATGTACCCACTGTACTTTCTGCGCAGTTTCCATGTATAAGAATAACTGTCTTGAAATCTGGTACTGATTATTCAAAGCATTTAAGATAGTTTTCCAGGAAGATCTTGGAACGTTTTGTGATTGCATGGAAGACGATCTCTTTTTCTTAAAACAGCTTCATTTAATGAAAAGAACATTTGTCGCCGAGCCAAGCTCTGCACTGTTTTGACATATTCTGTATGTACAAATATTTGACTTTGGCACGTGATTCCAAATATCCAGTTAGCATAAAAGCTAATTCATCCCAACTGCTAATAAGCTTAGTGGTGTAAAACAAGTAATGATAAGCAAAGGTTTGTGGGAGGTACATCAGACTAGGGGACAATGCCTATAGGAAGGCCCTACAGTTGACACTTAAACCAAACCCAAGCCACCGCCATCAAGTCGGTTCTGACTCATAGCAATCCTGTAGGACAGAGCAGAAATGCCCCCACAGAGTTTACAAGGCTATAAATCTTTACAGAAGCAGATTTCCTCATCCTTCTCCTGTGTAGTGGTTGGTAGGTTCAAAAGCTGACCTTTTGGTGAGCAGCCAAATGGTTTAACCACTGTGCCACCAGAGCTCCCTAGTTGACACTTACCTTCAATCAATTCATGCATCTGTAGTGCCTTAACTCTCAAAAAAGCTGATGTTGTTCTGAGCACACATACACTTCTTCCTCCACCACCTTTCAGCCACCACTTAGCTGACTGCCATGGACAGTGGAGGAAGCAACTGTGGTGAAATCCCAATGTGGCCCAAGGAGGCTTTGGGAGGGTGGAAAGGAGCAGATTTTGGCAGACCTGGATCCACGTTTCAGAGGTGCATTTGCAACTCTGATTCTAAAAACAAGGTGATCCCACACTACTGTATAATGCAAGCTGTGAGCGCTCACCATCTCGAGACATCCCAACGGCAAGGCATTTCTGTAATCGACAGTGCTGGCAGCGGTTTCTACTAGTCCGATCAATCAAACAGTTCTTCTGACGAGGACAGGAGTAGGTGGCATTGCTTTGCTGACTCCTCCTGAAAAAGCCCTGTGATTTGTTTTAAAATATAAAACAGGTTAGTGTCAGTTTGAACTGTATGATACTAATGACAGTGTACTAAGCTCTGAGCAACATTAATATTTAATGGAGAATTAAACTTGTAGCAGAATCATCCAGGAGACCATTAATGGAATTAAAGTCACTTCTTTTTCCTTCAGTAAAACTGGTCCCCAGAGCCCAATCCTCTGTCCCTTACACATGCAAAACTTTTTTTAACTTCGATAGTGGCCTCTGTAAAAGGCACAGGGTCAGGCCCCTGTGGCTTCTGATGATCAAAAGCAATGTGCTTCATGGAAAAATAGGGACTTATCTTTCACTTTTATGTCCAAAATATTTTTAGTAAAATAAACACAAAATATGTCTTTGAGATATTCAGAGGTAGTCAACCCAGGGCAGCCTCAATCCTGACACACTATGGAATCTCTACCAGCCCACGGAAATCCACCACCCTTTGATTGTCTCATGGAGTCCTGGTGGCGCAGTGGTTAAAGTGTTCGGCTGCTAATCAAAAGGTTGGCAGTTTGAATCCACCATCCGCTCCACGGGAGAAAGATGTGGTACTCTGTGTTCATAAAGATTTATAGCCTTGGAAACCCTATGGAGCATTTCTACTGTGTCCTACTGGATCACTGGACTGAATCAAGTAGATGGCAATGAGTTTGGTGTTTTTTTTGGGAGGGGGGCTTTGGGTTGTCTTATATGCTTCAACTCAAAAATCTACTGCCCAATGCAGTTAGAGGACAACTCAATGGATTATCTTGGTGGATCAGTCAGACTAGGGATACTCTTCAGTCCTTGACAGTTTGGAAATACCATGTGTTCAGAACGGTGGACTTTAAAATTTAAACAATCCTTACAGTGATGGAAAACTTGGCAACAGGCACTGGTGATGGTTGTGTAACATGGTTGATGTAATTAGTGTCACTAAATTGTACAAATAAAAAATTTATTTGCCAATTCAACATTTTGGTGGTGCAGTGGTTAAGCGCTTGGCTGCTAACCAAAATGTAAGGTCAGTGGTTTGAACCCAGCCATGGGAGAAAGATAGGGCAGTCTGCATCCATAAAGATTTGCAGCCTTGGAAACCCTATGGGGCAGTTCTTCTCTGTCCTATGGGATTGCTATGAGTTGGAATTGACTCAATGGCAATGACTGTGTTTATGTGTATGTAATGACAACAATAATAATTTAAAAAAATGTAAGCAATGAAATTCAATGTTCATCCAGTTTCTCTTTATGTGCTGAGCACTGTTTTGGAAATGAGAACATGTACAAAACGTATAAGAATGAGCTACTAACCTCAAGGATTTCATTTCATTGTTTGGCTAACTTCTTGAGCTGGGTTCTGAAGCACTCCTTAATTTTCAGCGTTCATTCTTTCATTAAAGCTGTAAGTTCTCCTTTTAGTTACGTCTTAGGAGCAACCCACAAGTTTTACTATGTAATATTTCCTGTGTCATTCAGTTGAAAGTATATTCCTATTTTCAATATGATTTCTTCTTTAACCTCTATGTTATTTAGAAGCGTATTTTATAATTTCCCAACACTTAGGGGTATCTAAGGAGCTCTGGTAGTGGACTGCCTAAGGCATTTGACTGCTAAGCAGGAGGCTTGGTGGTAGTTCAAACCCACCAGGTGCTCTGCACAAGGAAGATCGATCAATCTACTTCCAGAAAGATTTGCTGCCTCGGAAGCCCAATGGGGGTTGCTATGAGTTGGGATCGACTCAGTGGCAATGAGTTTAGGATTTTAGAGGGTTTCTAGTTATATTTTAGGCACCCTGGTGGCATAGTGTCTAAGGCATTTGACTGCTAGCAGAAGGCTGGCGGTTCAAACCCACCAGCCACTCCTCGGAAGGAAGGTTGGGCAATCTACTTCCGTAGTGATACTGCCTCGGAAACCCCAAGGAGGGGTCGCTATGAATCGGGTCCGACTCCATGGCAGTGAGTTTTGAGTTAGTTATCTTTTTATTGTTGACTTCTCTCTCAGGAGTTTTGCAAGCTAGGGATATGCGCAGAGGAGAATAATGCATTTGGTTTCTGTTCTCTGAACTTCAGCCATGAAGGGAACAAATGAGCATTACCATCTTCAAATACTTAAGGACAAAGATAAATGATCCTAACAAAGAGAGATAAGGATGGAGAAGGGAGAGGTAAATCTTGAAGAACTGAGAGAGTGGTGGGGAAATGGAAGAGGATACTCTCCACCCCAAAGTTTTCTGGAGGCCAAATTTGGCAGTTATATCAAAATCCTTAAAAATAGGTTGAGTCATTGAACCAGCAATTATTCTTTAAGGAATACATCTTAAAGAAATATCAGGAATGGTACAAAGACTTAACTAGTCTTAATCTTCCACTACAAAGATGCTCATTACAACATTATCTGTAATATTAAAACATTTAGAAGGATTCTGGATGTCTAATAGTAGTGAACTAGTAGAGTAATAGCACATATAGAATATTAGGCAACCATCAAAAATTGTATTTCAGAAATACAATTATGTAGAAAGGTGATAAAAACACACAGCTGAGTAAGAAAAGCATGCTAAAAACTAAATACAATCCAATTCTTGGAAAGAAAATATATTTAACATAGAAGAAAGTGTGGAAGTTAGACTCCAAAATGGCTCTGGCTGGTTTCACCATAGGTATTTTTAGTGCTCCTTCTGTTTATCTGTGCTTTCTGATTTTGCTATGGTACAAAGCAAAGCTGAAAGGTATGTGAATTACAAGGGAAGGTCAATGCAGAGTATCAGCTCTCTCTTGTGATGGGTGGGTGCTTTTGTGGACCAAGGTGATGTATATGACTTAGGTCTTAGTTCTTTATTTTTGAAATCCAACCTGGGATAGGAAGGGAGAGGGCACTAGTCTCTCTCTCCACCAAGCTGCTCGCCACCCTCCCCACTGGCTAGAAGGCTGGGGCAGGGTCTCAGGCTGGCCCCACTGCACTTTAAATCTACTCAACATCAAGTCTGGCCTCCTCTTGCTTCCCAAAATATCTAAAGCAGTCTTTCTTGATTGTTTATTTATTTGTTTTCTCTTCCTTTGAAAAGGAAATGACAAGAAGTGGAGCTTTCTTTGGGACTCAGTGGTGAGAAGTCAGGAAAAGATAAATAGATGGTAACAGACACAGCTAATCCTGAGAGACAACAAGCAGTCACCTGTTTAGTACTTATTTTAGTCTAAGACATATAATCTCTGTTAAAGCCAAAAAGTATTAATCTCTTTCTTGAGAAGCTACCATCGCTTTTACCCTCTGTGCTTACTATCATTGCCTGTGTATAGAGGTGCCTCCAAAACCAAACCAAACTCACTGCTGTTGAGTTGGACCCGACTCATAGTGACCCCTCCTTGAGTTTCCGAGGTGACATCTCTACGGAAGTAGATCACCCGACCTTCCTTCCAAGGCGTGGCTGGTGGGTTTGAACCACCAGCCTTCTGGTTAGCACTATGCCACCAGATTGCCCATAGAGGTGCCTAAGATCAGGAATTTATTTGCTTTTCCTTTAACTGACCTTGAATTTCCCTTGCCCCACACTAGGCCAATTCTATTCTGTTCCAGGGTTAACGAATATGGGAAATATCTGAGCACTCTCTTTCTTGAACTGGAAATACGTACAGTATTTGAGACCTCAGAGCCTAAGGCATCTGATTGCTAACCAGAAGGCTTGCGGTTCAAACCCAGCAGCCACTCCGCAGAAGGAAGATGGGGTAATCTACTTCCGTAAAATCCAAAGGGGGATGTTAATGAGTCGGAATCAACTCAATGGCAGTGAGTTTTTTCGTTTTTGTTTTCTTAAGCCATCTCTCAGATCTCTCTACTGCAGATCAAATCACAGATCCTATCAGCCTTCTTTCTGGATTATCGTTTACCTCTAGTATTTCTTCTTAGGACTGTGTCTTGAGAAGATGATTTTTCTTTTTTAAAAATTTGAAATCAAGAATTAGACACAGCTCTTGAAAGATGGTTGGGTCATTAATGAAAAGGATGCAGATTTTTAGTTTCTACATAGTAAACTCAGTCTAGCATCAAACCACCACCTAGAAAGTTCCAAAATGTTAGCACAGAGGCCATACGTAACCACCAGTTTGGGTTTGCTCTGCCATAAGAGGACCCTGAGAGGGCATAATGGTAATGATGATGATGATGATACATAAATTTAATGGCATTTGACTGCTATCCAGAAGGCTGGCATTTCAAACCCCCTGGCTACTCCTTGGAAGGAAGATTGAGCAATCTACTTCTGTAGGGATGCGGCCTTGGAAACCCAAGGAGGGGTTGCTATGAGTCAAATCGACTTGACGGCAGTGAGTTTTTATAGTTTGTTTTTGCTATGTGCTAGGCACCATGGGCTTTATGTAGGGTACCTCATTTAATTGTGTCAACAGCAGTGTGAGGGAGGCCTATCATTGCTCTCCTTTATAAGTTGAGGCACTAAGGCCTGGACAGGCTTGCTCAGAGTCCCATGCCCAGCATGGGGTGAAGCCAGGCTATGAATTCACAGAGCTGAACTCCACATCCCACATACTTACCCTTTTGGGTTTTTAATTTCCCTGCATGTCCAAAGGATTCTGCTTTGGTTGTTTTCACAGTGAGAAAGCAACTTTCCCGTTAGGCAGTGAAAAGAAACAAGGTTTATATAGGAAAGCAACAAAATGGATCTACCCTGAAGTAAGTGTTTTTCTTCCTATTAGCACTTCTAGCTAAGCCACATTGCCACTGCCCAGACATTTTATCCAGTTCTCTTCTACACCTGCCTCCTGAACCAGGTTAGGAAGCACATGACAAAACCAGTCTCATGAATTCAAGATTTCCCCTCATTTCTGACCAGAAATATTATGGCCACTTTGCTTCACCATACTTATTTTGAAATGACTTTGGCTCCTTTACCTAAACAAACAAACAAATGTATTTTTTTTTAAAACTTCAAGGACACAGAGTCACTCATATTAAAGATATCTGAGTAATGGTACCATGAATTATAAAGG